GGAGGGGAAGGAGGGGAAGGAGAGGGAGAGGGAGGCAGGTAAGGAAGTGAAGGGTAAAGGCAAGGAGAGAGAGGAAGGAAATGAGGAAGGAAAGAGTAAAGAGGTGAAGGAAGGGGAGGAATGAAAGGAAAGGAAGAAAGCGACAGGTAAGGATCCCACGTGGGAGTAGAAGGGAATAACTTACAAATCCGTCTACGATCCCAGAGCGGATATTGATAGGCTCGAGGAAGTGCCACGCTAATTGATATACAGGCGGGAAGACTTGACGTGTAGCTGCTACTGCGGGGGAGAGGTGGCTGGAGCGCGAGCAGTGGTGCGATATAAAAAGGGCAGTCCGGGGGGCTTCAACATGGATTCTGTTTTTCGGTTTCTATATTAAATTTGGATTGTCGATGCTTTTTGTTCGGGCTGAGTGCTGGATATTTAGATGAATCTACACATGTCTAGTTTTAGTCTTTCTGCCATCGCTTTTTCGGAGGCCGGGCTCGTCTGGTCTAGACAGATTTTGTATTTGTATCTGTAAAATGTATAGATTTTGCGACGTGAATCCTTGCCTGGGGTTTGAGGCCCGGGCAACCAAAATGAGGCGTTTATTTGTTTTGTGGAAGGATTCGATCGGTGGATAGATATGCTGCTGGTGTTCTATCGTGATCTGGACTGCTTGACGGAATAAAGGTTGAGTAAATATCTTGAAAGCTTGTTTACTTAGCCCCCTCAATTTAAGCGAGACACTGAGACAGATACTTCTCGCTTACGAGCACGATCTTTCCAGATGCTCTCATCAGCTATTCGCTTCTATTCTACCAGGGTCTCAAGAGAGATATAATGCACGGCTTCTTCATGGAAATGGAGGAAAGAATGATTACGTGGGCGTCAAGAATGGTCATTTCTTTATACTTTAATGACTTGCCTGTTGCATCACTCACTCATATTTTCTTGGATGATTTATTTATATTATCCAACAGATGTTAGAAGCCGCTCAACTACGCTTTACACATCCGCCCATCACTCGCAATAGCCCACGTCTCGCTCCCAACGCCAGCAGTTGCATAGAATAAGGAATCAGGGTCCCACGCCTTCTTGACAGCCAACAATTTAGCGTAGTTGGCACCGAAGAAAGCGTTCTGGTAGTCCGGCTGGCGGTAGTTGGCTTCGTTCATGTACGCCCCGCTGCCGGGAGTGACCGCCTCGATCTGTGGGACCCAGTCGTTCGTCATCGCGTCCTGGTCCCTCAGCATCTGTTCCCAAGCGCTTGCCGACGTGTTCCAGGGGGTTGTGAGGTAGGTGTGGATTAGCGCGTCGCGCCACGCTGGCAGAACGGCATTCGAGATGTTGCCAGACTTCACCGGTGCCGAGACGTCGGTCGCAACGCCGCCGAGGAGAAGGCCATGCTCGGTGAGGTTGCGGTACACGGCTTGTAGTGCGGGATTGTTTTTCTGGACAACTGACCGGGGGATGAGGCGAGAGCCGAATTGGTATTCGGCAACGCCGATGTTGCCATATGGGAGCGGCCCCATGTAGGTCTCGTAATGCTCCGCGTACGTGGCCGAAGAGGTATAGGAGACCGTGAATGGGACGCTGAGGCTGTCGAGAACGGCAATCCACGGCGCGAGAATGGCCTTGACGTCGTCTCCGGTCTTGTTGTATGCCGTAACGGGTTGGAGGGCGAAGAAAGCGGCGCCGAAGAAGTAGATGATCATTGTCCCGTTGTCGATCATAGCGGGCAAGAGAGTGTGGAACTCTTCGATTGCTTGGTAGAATTTGTCAGCTGTCGTGTACGCGGCCCCAATTTGAAGATATGCTCCTCCAACTGGAGCATCTGGGTAGGTCTTGATCGTCATCGAGACTACGACGCCGTAGTTTCCTCCGCCACCACCCGACAGAGCCCAGTATAGATCGCTGTTGTTCGTCCGAGAAGCCGTAACCAAGTCACCGGCGGCTGTGACGACTTCAAAAGACAATGTCTGGTCTGCGGCAAGCCCAAAATTTGTGCTCAGGGCAGAATGACCTCCACCTTGGGTCTTCATGTAGAATTAGCGCTCTATTTTTCAAAATTTGGGGAACCCAGAGAGCCAAAAGTCTGAAGACAATTAAAAGAGTGTGGAAAATTGCACATACATAACCACCTGCAAGACCAACAGTTGGACATTCACCTCCTACAACAACGAGCCCTTGGGCGGCGGCGGCGGCGGTGATCTCGTATCCCTGGATACCAGCTCCAATCTTGACGGCTGAGCCGGAATAGTATTGATCAGAGAAATGCATGAACTCAATGTCCTTGAGATAGTGAGTCCAGACAGATAGAGCTCCAGCACCCGTTGAGCGTCCTAAGAAGCTAGCGAGACTTCAGTCACATGTATCCTAGAGGTACTTGGTTCTACTTACTCATGGCCCGTGTTGCGAATCACAAATCGCACATTGTTGGAAACTGCAAACTTGACACCGGCTACAATATCGCTCACGCTCGTCACATTGATAGCGTACTGTACATAGTTTCCTAGAAGACACGATTGCGATTCGGCAGTGAAGGGATCACAGCTCTGGTTGGCGAAGTAAGGCTGCATAACAGATGATGGATGATCCAAACTATTAAAGTCATTGGTTGTGCAAGGATATGTGTTGATAACACTTACTGGAGCTCCACAAGCTGCCAAGATGCCTTGATAGCCTCACATTCGGCTGCATCGTAGGCAGAGCCGTGACATGGTGTGCCTATTGGTACGGTCGAGATCAGCTTTCCATCGACCGTACTGTTGAGCTCCGACCACTGTATAATCGGGGTCAGCAAGTGTAACTTCGGGGAAAGGATACTCGTCGGACATTGGAATCTGCCAAAATAGCTGCTCCCCAAATATACTTACAGAAGCAGTTGATGGCCAGCTAATGTCCCCCGGGAATACGCGGCAGTTGGTACCCGCGGCTTGAACATTGTAGGTGCATGCAGCAATGGCAGCGGGTACGGCGAAAGTAGCAGAGAATTTCATCTTACTAAAGGCAATTTACTGGCTGTAAAGTTCAATCGGAGAAGTCCTTGAGGAAATTTAAAAGAGAAGATGCCACAAATGAAGCATCTTATTATAATCTGAAAGTCACGAAAAAGAGGACTGTAGTGCCGGGAGGGCCGTCAGCTTACCCTTGCCTCTGACTGTACTCCAACCAGGGGTACGATTATCTGTACTCATCAGATCGCTATCGATTCCGCGCATAGGGAACAGCTGAGGTCTATCCATTTAATCGGGCGTCAAGCTCAAAAGACGATGTACAGATTTGACGAAACTTACCCATTGCATGCGGCGTGGCTGTGTGCAAGCACAAATTTTCAAATCCTTCGTAGCCCTTATAGCTTCTGGTGCATGCTGCCCACAGACAGCAGTGGAAACGGGTGGCCTTCTTCGTAGTATACCTGCAGCCCCCTTTCGCATTTTCGAAGCAACCCATAAAACCCTCCTTTAGCTTATTGGCTGTAGAGACGATGGGAGGTATTGGGTGACAGTCCTTCATTGGCCGTCGCCACGTTCGAGTTTACGCCACTCCGAATCAACATATGTGCCAGCCAGTATGCAGTGCAAGCCCGAGGAACAACTTCGGAACGTTCCATACTCTCCGCTTCGTCTGGAGATCTCGAAGACGATCGCGAGGAAAGTGGATGTTAGACTTTTAAAATAAAGTTTCGGTTACAAGCTTGTCAACATAACCTTCACTTGGGAAAGATGAGCTCCATTCATGGAGTTAGAGTATAAAAGTCATGCTTAGACTCTCAAGATGAAGCATTATTCCATACAAATATTCCTCTAGAAGGTCTCGAAAGGGGCAAATGAAACGGAGAAGAAGCTTCCGCCTCTTGCATTAATCGTTAAGCCCGAGGCATGGTTGGCCGGCCCGCTTAAACTGCTAATCATCTCCGATTCCACCTGAATGACCTGCCTAGTAAAGAAGTGGACTGATAGCCATCTCACTGGGACTTGGCTCCCAATGATTCCCCAAGAATGTCGTTACTCCGCTAAGGAAGCTTGTGCAGAAGACACCCCAAGTGACAAGCCCCCCCCAAACCTTGATATTATAAGCGACCAACTTAGCAGGCTTCATTGCAAGACGCTGTAAAAACCAAAAATGCACTTTGAAAATCCTGTTCATTTATATATAGGCTGTTTTATCCTTGAAATTTTCTGAAAGAGAATCGACGCATTGCTAGTCTTGACGCATGAGCTCTGGGTTTGTAAACTCTGGGGAATGGTTCGTAGGCCGGCTGAAACCCAACGCTTTGCAGCTCAACGATAACAATCCTGCATGATAGGTGTAATAACAGGGAAAGAGTTGCCGAAAAATCAGATTCGATCTCGCGAGATGCATGAGAGGGTTGCACCATCAACCGAGTGAGCCTTAGAAATCATCAAGGAGGCTCTAGACTGGTAGCCCACCCGAACTTCTCTCCAGTTATCGGCCGGAGACGAAACATAACCCCTGGTGTATATCTTATTGATGCGACACGGGCTACGGCTGGGCAGACGAGGTCGCATTGTGACGGCACGACGGCCCCCTCTTATCTGCGAGCCGCAGAAAGGTTCATTCGTAGATATTTGACTCGTCTTAACCGAAGAAATCCCTCTCGTTCTCAGACATGGTTCGCTTTGTTCCATTCGAGTCATGTACGAAAGAAAGAGACGACTGTTGGCTTTTGGCTCTGTGATTCTGTTCCTCGCTTTGCTTCGCCCGACGTTGGCCCAACAAGGAACATTATCTTCGCTGCCCACGTGTGCTGTTGGTTTCTCCTGCAACCATCCATGAAGGCACAGCAGCTAACATCGTGTCAGCTGGTATGCTTGAAGAATGAGATCGAGACGTCGTCATGCGCGGCTACCAACGCGACCTGTGTCTGTCTTGACCATGTACTGCAAACCAACGTAGCAATATGCGTGGCCAGTAACTGCAACGTTGAGGATTCCCTAGGTAAAAGCCAACATATTGCTAAATTCAGTGTCCAGAGCCAGAGGTATTCTAACTCTCACCAGTTGCCCAAAATGTCACAAAGACAGCATGCTTAGAGCCGGTCCGAGATATCAGCGCCAACTATTACGCGCTATCCATTTCATTCGGAGTGATATCAGCTACGGCGGTCCTCTTTAGATTGATTGCGAAATTCTTCACCTCTTCCGCGTTCGGGCTGGACGATCTCTTCATTTTCATTACGCTCCTTGCAGGTGTTCCTAGCGAGGTGCTCACCGTATATGGCGTACTTTCCAACGGCTTGGGCAGAGATATTTGGTAAGTACGACTTTCAGAATACTCGTTGGCGATTCTGAGCCATCCCAGCAGCATGCTCTATCTAGCCCATTCCCGCCCCCCCAAGAATATACCTACCTGCTCTTGTACATACGAGAGAAGACAAGCTTACTGGAAAATTGGTATCACAAGGACCCTCACGCCTAAGCAGATCACGGACTTTCTCCGGGCGTTCTACTTCATGGAGATCTTGTACTTCTTCCATGTCTGCCTGCTGAAAGCCACGCTGCTCTTCTTCTACTTGCGCATCTTCCCGGGGCCGGGGATCAAGAAGCTGATGCGGGGCACGATCATCTTCAACTTCGTCAATGGACTCGTCTTCGTCCTCTTGGCCATCTTCCCATGCAAGCCTATCAGCTACTACTGGACCCGATGGGATGGCGAGCACGAAGGGAAGTGCATGAACCTCAATGTCCTCGGGTGGTCGAACGCGGCAGTCAGTATCCTGCTGGACTTCTGGATGCTCGCACTTCCACTCTCGCAACTCTCCAGCCTCAAAATGCACTGGAAGAAGAAGCTGGGCGTCGCCGTGATGTTTGTTGTTGGCACCTTGTTAGTCTCCCCAAATATTCTACCCACCCTCGTCGTGTCTCGATTCTGCAAAACTGACCGGTCTTTAGCGTTACGGTGGTGAGCATCATCCGGCTGCAATCCTTGGTCTCGTTCTCGAATTCGCAGAATCCAACCTGGGATAACCTTCCCGTCTCGCTGTGGTCCACGGTAGAAGTGAGCATTGGCTTGATATGCGCCTGCATGCCCACTCTCCGACTCGTCCTCGTCCGCCTGTTACCGAGGTCGTTGAGTACGACCCAGCTATCACGGACGAGAAACAACTACTACGGGACGCAGGGCCATACAGCGACGGCGGGCACAATCTCTGTGGTGCGGCCGAAGGGGAAGTCAGAGATGGATATCCCCCGCGACGGCATTCGGTGCGAGCAGAGTTTTTCCGTGCATCATGATGACCGATGGGACCATGATGAGTTGGAGCTGATCGAGTTGAGTGAATTTGATAGTCAGAAGAATGGCAAGACGCCGGTGAGGGTAGTAGCCAGGAGTGCCTTTTAAGCGGATGTGTGTATCATTTCTCATCACAGAGTCAGTACTACAGCCAACATCTGAATCACGCTCCTCACCAGGAGTCTGTGGAAAGGTATAAATACTCCTTCCTCCCAGCAGTGAAGTTACCTTTCATATTTCCTTAACGACCAACACCACACACTCGAGCACCTCCGTTCCAGACTTGACAACCAAGCGAAGCAACCCGATTATCCTATTCCGAATTCAAAACCACCTAGATCCCACTCACCAATAGAGACCACCGCCCTCCATTCACCATGTCCAGTCTCACCTTCAAGAACTATTGCAGCCACTGCGGTCAATCCAGCTCCCCTTCCCCCATTTGCAAATACGACGGGGCCCAGTGTTTCCCCTCCAAGGCGCAATACCAGAAGTCGATTGGGATAGTCAGGAAGGGAGCCCTTGACGAAGATCCCGTCCAGAAGCACATCCAGCCGAAGAAAGCAGAGGAGGAGAAAAGCGCAGAGGAAAGGGATGAGACGAAAGGGGATGGGGAGCGGCGATTTGACTGAGTGTCGATCGCAGATCGGACTCGACACACTTGAGTTTGCGGTACCGAGTGAATGGTTCGACCTGTTTTTTTTTTTTTACGCAGGGGCTTTTGTCGGGGGCAGGTGTCCGGTGTCATCAGATACCCGATCACGGGACTCGCCTTAGGATAGATTCTTGATCAATGAAAGACCCGTCGTTACTTTACTTTGACTCAAATTTAGACTTGTGGGTGTGGACTAGATCGTGATCGAAGAGATGTGGATTTAATCATGATCAAAAAAGAGTAAGGGATTCCCGGACCCGATATTATGAAGAGCAACGATCTGGGATCAAGCTTGACGCTATGCATCCATCTATGCAAGCTTTATATGTTTCCCGTAAGCGAGCCCCTGAGTCCAGGCTGTGTTTAGTTCGGCTAAGGCACTAACTAGCCTGGAGTTGACAGCACTGTACCGAGTGCCAGGCCCGAGACCCACCACGTCCATGGGGATCATTGAAGTGTTAAAAAGTAGGTACGATACGTTGCCCCATTCAGCATTTAGCAGCCATGAAATAAGGTAGACCTTGCGTGCAGTTCTTCACCGGGCCAAGCAGACCGCCAGACTATCGTGACTTCCAACCTTGATTTTATTTACTTCACTGTCATCCTTCTCTCTCTATGAAAGTCTAGTATCATAATTCCGTTTCATCCGTTACAGCAACTAGAGATAAACTAATCGAATACGCAAGTGCTGAGAGGGAGGCAGGGCGTGGGTCGGTGTTTATGCTACGACGCCGATTTTGGAAGGGAGGGGTGGAGGATGGAGGGTTGAAGGCGGAGTCTGAGGAATGGGAGTTGGATTTAAAGCGAGTAAAGAGAAGAACTCTTGGGGCCTGCTGTGCTCCTTCGTCGTCCATCTATACCACTACATAGCTCATCACACTCATAATCAAAGAAAACCAATTTAATCAACTTTCTGCTTCATTAGAGGAAAAGATTATTCAAGCGCTGCCCCGCTACCCGTTGCTGCTGCTGCTGCTGCTGCTGCTGTCGCTGCTGTCCAACCAATCCAGAAGCAAAAGAGGAAAAAGAAGAGGGAGAGAGAGAGAAGAACAACAAAAACCCCCCCAAACCAAAAGAGGCCGGTGAAACAACAAAAACGTGGGTATACATGTCTCATCTATTCTATCTCCTCTCTCATCTTTCATCTCCCCTCTCTCCGCTTTATCTCTCCTCTACCTCTCCTCTCACCTCCCCACGCTTCCTCTCTCGTAATTTCCCATGATCTACTTCTGCCCCGAGAAGAACCAACTCGTCCTCTTCCCCGCCGCGTTCCCACTGGCCTCACTCTGCAGTCCCGAGATTGTCGGGTTGCCGGCCACTACACCGGCATTCTCGGCGCCGCCCCTGAGGGGCTTAGCGATGCGCGAGCCGCCGAAACTGAAGCCTCCGTTCGAGGGGGACGCGAGGCCGCGGGTTGAGCCCGATTTGGCGGCTTCGAGGCGCTCTTTTACGGCTGTAAGCTGGGCTTCGAAGCTAGGGGGCCGTCAGCACGCTATATGTTTGAGAACGGTGGGAGAATCAAGGGAGTAGTGACTCTGTCTGTATATAGAAAAGGAACATACCGATGATTAGCCGCCGTCAGCTTCTCCTGCGAGTCCTGCAATAGGCTTTCTAAGCTCTGAATCCGCTCATTCCTCGCAATCAACTTCCTCTCTGCAATCGCGACCTCCTTCTTCAGACTGCCGTTTTGCTCGACCAGCTGGCGTTGCACGTGCGTCAATTGCTCCAGATTCCTTTCCAAGAACGCCATCTTCTTCTGCTGAGCGCGGTTGTTAGATGAGCGTAGCACGTTGTTATATTGTTCTCTCGTCTCGTCAAGTGAGATTTCCAGCTCGACGACACGCTCGCAACGGTTCTGGAGATCGCGCATCAGACTCTTTTTCATGACATCGAACTCAGCGATCTGCTGCTGCACGGTCTTGCCGTTGGCCATAGCCCCAGCGCCGTTGGGCACACCACCTGCTTTAACCTTGCGTTGCAGGTCCTCATTCACGGTCTTGTATTTTTGAATCTCAGCTGACTTCTGGGCGAGGTCTGCTTTCAAGTCCTCAACAAGAGAAGTTTGCACATCCTGCTTTGTGGAATAGGCCTGCGCAAGTTTTTGCTTGACATCCTCGACATCTGCTTCACTAAGGTTGCGCTCGAGGAGACCCTCGTAATCACGCTCCACAGCTTCGAGACGCTGCTCCAGCTCCTCCCTTCGCTTAGCATTGTTGTCGTCTGATGCTGTGCCGTAAAGTGACAACTCGGCTTGTCGAACGATGCCCTGAGTTTCGATCAAAGCTGCCTTTATCGATGCCAATTCATCTGGGGCGATAGCTTCGCCAGCCACGGACTGCCCATGAAGCGATTCAACCTGCTCAATGACCTTCTTGATACTTTGCTCATTATCGCTAAAGACATCACCACCAAGGTCAAAGCCAGCCATCATCTTTGCCATCTTCTCTGCCTTCTTCTTCTCTTTCTCGTCCAAAACAGCACTCGTTTCCTGTGCGGACATCTTGACATCCAGAAGTTGTTGCTTTACCTCATCAAGTTCGGCTGTAAGCTCTGCGTTAGCTTCTTTGAGGCCATCCATCGTGATTTGAGCCTCCTTGCTCTCGAAAGATAACCGCTCCATCTGCATCTTAAACTCGTTGACCTCACTAGTCAGCTTCTCGTTCTCTCGGTTTCCTTTGCTATCTCGCTCCTTGAGATAAGCGAGTTCCTCCTTCGTATCCCGCAACGTCTTCTCCACGGCTGCAATCTGAGATTCCTTCTCGGCAATCTGGTCCTGAAGCTCATTCTCCCGTCTCAAGAATTCCTCCCGTTCATCCTTGTCTAGAGGTAAGCTAGGCGTGGCGGAACGTTCTGAAATAGCAGGCGTCTCTGCTCGGGACTCTGCCGCAAGTCGTGAAGGTGTCGACGGCCTCGGAGGTTGTTGCTTTGTCTTTGCAATCCCTACTCCTTCCAGAGGAGGTGCCCACTTCTCCTTTGGTACCGCCTCTCCCGCTCGCCATTGTTGCACTTCCTGGTCCAAGGTATGCACATACGACTCGAATGTTGTCACCTGGAACTGTGCCTTCTTTAGCAAAGCCTTCAGTTCCGCCGGACTTATCTCTGCATTGATCTTGGCCTTGTTCTTGATCGCCTTGGCTCGCATACCAAACTTCAGCGTGCTGAGCGTTTCCGCATCGTTGTAACTGCTGGGCGAGCAGTTGATGATCAGAGTTGTCCTACTGTTTCCTCCCAAACTCTCTTGCAGGATACGGGTGAGTTTCGAGTCTCGGTAGGGGATATGAGACGATTTGCCGTCCGTCAGGTTGTTGATGACCATACCCAGAGCACTCAAACTCTTGTTGATCTTCTTCGCTTCCTCCAGGGTCTGTCCGCTAGCACCAGTCTTGCCAACCTTCTCGGAACCCGCCAAATCGACCAGGAAAAGCTGTCCGCTCTTGGCCGAGCCAGTCTCTACATTCTTCTGCGTGATCGTGATAACAAAGATGGAATGTGACCGCGAGGATTCAGCATTCATGTTTGTGGCCGCGACTGATCTCGAGTTCCCTCCCCTCCGCATGACCTCGTAGACTTCCTGGACGTTGGAGACGTATATCTCTAGCAGCCCCTTCACGTACACTCCCCTGGCCTTCTCCTCGTGCACCGGCAGATTATCATTGTGCGGCGCCAGCAGATCCCTAATGCGCTCCATATAGATTTCCATATAGCTGACCCGGACCGTGTATTCAATGGTCCCGGGACTCGACAAGATACTCTGAAAGATCTGCTCCACGATTCTGGGAATGACTCCGCGGCCTTCAGGATCGTCCATATCCGTACCCATCATGGTGTACGACTTTCCCGCACCCGTCTGGCCGTAAGCGAACACGGTGCCATTGTAGCCGTTGAGGATGTCGTCGACGGTGGGCTTGATGGAGAAATCGAAGACGTCCTTCTGGCGCGAGTTCATGTCAAACACGCGGTCGAAGGTAAACGACCCGGAGGCCTCCTTGCTCTGCTCGCCGGTCAGCATTCATTCGCCCCGCTCAACCGATCCACGCCGTCTCCCGGCCCCAGCGGATTACCTACGTCCAGCCGACATGTATCCTCGGTCTCGAATTCGACAATGGGCTGTCCCTGGGCCTCCAGCTCGACGCGGTTCTGCGGCCGAAAGCGCGCCACCACCTTGATGCTGTTCGACATGATCGCGGCGATGCGTGGGCTATCCGGGAACGCTCATAAGTGCAGAAGTTGATGCTGAAGCTCGCAGGTAGGTGGGGTGGGGCTGGGCTGGGCTAGGCTGACTAGACAGGTTGGACGTGACTCGAGTTGACTCGAACTGGCCCTGTGATTGTGTGACGTTGTTGTTGACGATGGACTGGGAAGGAGGGGAACTTTTTGATACTGTAAGAGGGGCGAGTGACGAGAGGTTGTTGATATACTTGCTGGCGTTCGCGTAAATAGCTGCTGCAGGACGAGATTCCGCGTATCAGGTCGGCCAGGGCGAGCAGGCAACCAAGGTACCAATTTACCCAGCACAATGCGATACAACCACGCTAGGGCCGCGAGGAAGATGCTGGCGGAACTTTGATGATGGGTGGATATGGGGATATTGCAAAGTCAAGGAAGGGACCCTTTGTTAGGATTTTCTGGATTGCTTGAGTAGGTGGGATGTGTTGTGCTGCCCGGCATTCCAGCACTAGGTAGGTTATTAATAGGTACCCAGGTATGTATTGTACACATCTCGATCAAGGCGACCAAGGCTCGAACCTCCCACGCGAGGACAATAGGGGCACATTTGCGTGGAATGATTGTATGGAATGTAGGGACGCTAAGAACCGCTCTACGATGCATGAAAGCCTATCGATTTGCCTCGAGTTACTCCTCCCAGATAACAAATCCCGGCCTGGAAATACATAGCTCATCAAACAAACGTCCCCCGAAAACGCCAGGACACCGCCATCATCAGAACCTCATAATGCATCTACGTGCAGTTTGCAGCGCAACGATTTCCTTTCCTGGTATCCTCCCTCAGTCCTCCCAGCTCTTTTCCACAGTTTCCTTGACGCGTTTCGTGTATTCCCGGCGGTTGTCCTTGTACAGGTTGGATGCCTCCACGTTAGCGGGGGAACTAGTATTTGGATCGTTCAAAAGACTGGGAGAGCATTAGCAAGGCTCTACAGTAGGATCCCATCTTCCCCATGCCTTTGGATACTTGTCAAGACCGCCGCTACATCATACGTCGGACTCCATCTGTTTTGCAGGATGTCCAAGCACAGCTCCCCGGTGGCGTATACGTTTGGGTGGAACATCTGACTGAGGAACTTGACGGCGGGAGGCTTGTTGGGGTATTGCTCCTCGAACTGCATGACAAGTCTAAAGGTTCCATCTTCGAAGGGGGTATCTGCTGGGCCAATGATGACTGCATTCCTGTTGTCGCTAGGATCAGTGTTTGCTTCTGTCTTGCTTCCGAGTTCTCCCTCAAAGCCGTTCTTAAGCCCAAATCCTCGTACGATCTCGACACTTACCATTGCATAACGTTATCTGCCACTGGGGATGCAGAGACTCCTGCTGGGGGATCCGTTTGCATACGCTGGGAGGGATTAGTTTAGAAGCTGGTTGTGTGCCCTTCATTGAAACTAAAGCGCCACTGACCTTGAAGTCTCGCATCAGCCTACGACGAGCTGCAGTGGACATTGTGGCGGATTCAAACGGGGTGGTAGATGGGTCGATGGGTCTTCTTTGCGTGTATTGAAAGTCGTGGCCTTGTCGTTGTCTGATTCCGTTCGTTAGGTGGGGTATTGAACGGGGTGTTGCCGGACGGGGATCTGTCCATGTACCCTTCCCGTCGATCGTCGCAGGTACCCGTGAAAAGTTCAACGGGTGAAGAGTATGAAGGGGAATCGCCTCCGATTATCGAAGGATTGGATCTTCGTTTTCGCAGACAGGTGGGGGTCTTCTTTCGATTGGTGTTGACGTTGACGGAAGACAAATGAAAAGTAAGGGGATCACCGGGGTCAGGTCACATGGTGATTAGACTAGATTAGTGCTGAAAGTGGAGCCCAGCCCCACGCGGGAGGCCTCCGCTTCCCGTCGGCTCGGCTCCCCCCACTAGCGATCGACCATCGACCCTCCCTCGGCCCCCTCTCCACGACTTAATCCTCCCCCAGCTGGAGGTCTTCTCAATAATTCGTGTTTATTCTTCTCAACCTTTCACATTTCGTTCATCATGTCTCTCCGAACAACGAAAACAGCTGTGGCCTCTCTCCGTACTCCCTCTGCTACCACGTCGAGAATAGCTCAGGTACAACGCCATTTCAGCGCAACTGCCTCGGCCCAAAAAGAGATACAGGAAGCTTACATCTTGAGTGCTGCCCGGACACCTACAGCTAAGGTACTGTTCATATATCCTTCATGGTAAACTTCGTATCAAAATTGAATAGATGAATAGTTCAATGGCTCCTATACATCAGTCTCGGCCCCCCACCTTGGTGCCGTGGCCATCAAGTCTGCGCTCGAAAAGTCCAAAGTCCCCGTCTCCAAGATCTCAGACGTCTATATGGGCAATGTGCTCCAAGCCTCCGTAGGCCAGTCCCCCGCCCGTCAAGCTGCCATCTTTGCCGGGCTACCCAACACGATTGAAGCAATCACCATCAATAAAGTATGCGCCTCGGGCCTCAAGGCCGTCGTCTTCGCAGCCCAGAACATCCAGCTCGGATTGGCGGAAGCTCAGATCGCAGGAGGCATGGAGAATATGACCCGTGTACCGCTCTACACCCCCCGAGCCAGTGGACTGCCGTCATTTGGCAATGTGACGATGGAAGATGGACTGCTGAAGGACGGGCTGTGGGATGTGTACAACCAGTTTCACATGGGTGTCTGTGCCGAGACGAGTGCAAAGAAATATAACATTACACGAGAGTTACAGGACGAGTACACGAAGCAGAGCTACTCCCGTGCGCAGGACGCCTGGAAGAACGGAGCATTCGCCGAAGAGATCGCCCCAGTTACCGTCAAGGGCCGCAAAGGCGACACAATCATCGACACGGACGAGGGCTACCTCGATATCAAGATCGACAAATTATCAACCCTCAAACCGGCCTTTGTACGGGATGGCACTGGAACCGTCACGGCAGCCAACTCATCGACGCTGAACGATGGGGCCAGTGCTCTGGTTCTCGGCAACGCAGCAGTCGCAAAGGAGTTCGGGGCCGGCTCCCGAGTTCTGGCTCGCATCTGTGGTTCGGCGGACGCGGCAATCGATCCAGTAGACTTCCCGGTTGCGCCTGCCAAGGCAGTGCCACTCGCTCTGGCGAGAGCGGGGATCAAGAAGGAGGACGTGGCTGTCTGGGAGTTCAATGAGGCGTTTGCTGCGGTCATCAAGGCGAATGAGAAGGTCTGTCTCCTTCTCAATGGAATCCCATTCCAGATTCCGACTAGAGACTGACAGACCCTAGATCCTCGGCCTCGAAAACGCGAGAGTCAATCCACTGGGAGGAGCCATCTCCCTCGGGCACGCCTTGGGTAGCTCGGGATCCCGAATCCTGACTACACTATTGCATCAGCTGAAAGTCGGCGAGTACGGCGTCGCAGCTATCTGTAACGGCGGCGGGGCCGCCACGGCGATGGTGGTGCAGCGGATCGAGAGTGTCTAAGTTGTAAGTGGGAGTGGAGTGTACGAGGGGCAAAACGAGGGGCAAAATAATCCCGAGTAATGAATACCGACTCGGTATTCTATGTAATCTCATATATGAAGCGAGAGAGGGATCTGTTACAGTAGAACAATCATTAATCGTGTTGTGTATAACTTTTTTTTTTTTTTTCTTTTTTTTTTTTGCTTTCTCAAGAAATCCACATTACAATTCTGTATCCTTTGAAGACCACGCTAGGCGAAGAAGAATCTGCCACCGTCCCAACCCGTCCCAACCCGACCCAACCCAACCTTAGCCAATCCAGCCCACCCGGTCGGTAGGCGCTACGGAGTACTACTGCTGGTCTAGCTAGGAAGGTAAGCAGGTTGGGTTGGGTCGGGTTTTGTTTGTTACCAGCGAGGCGAGAGGAGAAAGAAGAAAGTGCAGCCAGCCAAGCGAGGCGAACGCTCGGTTCTGCTCGTCGTCGTCTTCTTGTTGGTGTTGTTGTTCTCAGCCTGACGGTTGACTTTTCTCTCTCGTTCGCGCTCGCTCGCTCGCTCTCGCTCTCCATTTGAACTCCTACTCACTCACTCACTCACTCGCTTCTTCTTCTTATCTGGGTGCATACACAGATATTGTACCGCCTGTTCTCGCGCGCTCTCTCTCTCTCTCGCGTCCCATCTCTCTTATTCTCCTCTCCTCATCTCCCCCTGCTCTTTCACTTCTTCCAAACCTCCGAACTCCCCCACTCCCTCCCCCCCTCCCCCCCGGCGTCCTCTCTCTCCCATCTCCCTCCTCCACATCCCTCCCGCCCCCGCCCTAAAACAAAAAGTCCAAACAACAACAACACGCCAACGCAGCCAAACAGCCCCCCAACACCCCCTCCGCCGCACCACTCTGCCGCCCCCGCTGATCCAGATACTGTCCCTGCGGCGCGTATCTCGGTCCCGGGCCGTACGGATATGGTTGCTGCGGGTACTGCTGCTGAGGGGGGTATCCCATGCCGGGCTGCTGACCGTATGGCTGCTGGGGGTGCGGGTACTGCTGGTAGGGGTTGGGATACTGGATCTCGTTCTGTTGGTTCTTGTTGGATGGGAATTGGGGTTGCGGCTGGGGCTGGCTGTAGGGCGGTTGCTGGGGGGAGGCGTTGTAGTAGTCTGATGTGCCGGTGTGCTGGTTGGTGGGGATGAGGTGGGCGGGGGGCGGGACGGGGGTTGTTGATGTGGAGGAGGGGATGTAGGCTGGAGGGGGGCCGTTGGGGAACTGTTGGGGGTCGACCTTTTGGGACATGGTTGCTGCTGGTGGTGGTGGTGGTGGAGGTGGTTCTTGGGGGTTTGCTTCGTTCGGTGGGTTGGTCTGGGTGTGGCGAGGGTTTGAAGTGCGGTGTCGTTTGATCACGATTGATCGTGTGCCTTTTGTCTAGTTTTTTCTTTTCCCTATCCCTTCTGAGGGTTCTCCTGAGAGCTGGCTATTCGCGAGTCGGGATGTCGGGAGTTGGGAATCGTGTTATACAAGCGTAAGTAGGTCGGTCGGTCGGTTAGATATAGGTGTGTGTAGGTTGGTCAGGAAGGACGGTGGGATCCGATGACAATAAAGAATCTTTCTGTATGTATGTGTGTATGTAGAGAGAAGGAAAACGATGACGAAAGACTCGAGGTGGCTGATGACTGTCCCTCTCGCCGCCGCCGCCGATAGACTTTTTCCGCTCCTCGCTAAATCAGCTTCTAGAGCTCTTGGGGGTTTGCGAAACCTGCTTGTCCCGAAGATCCGGATTCCTTGGTCTTGGGGCCTTGGGGCCTTGGGGGGGGGGGCCCGAGCGAGAGAGAGCGCAGTAAGTAAGTAATAAGTAAGTACGTAGGTAAGTAAGTAATCTTCTTTCTTCTTCTCTTTTCAGATCAATTGCCAGCTTTTAGATTTTCTTTTAGAAATATGGGAATGGGAAGTTGTCGTTGTATCGTGTTGAGTTACGTCGAATGGAAGGGATGGATGGATGGATGGATGGCTGTGTATTTTAATGATTTTCGCGATGGAGGCTTCTGGCACATGCGATGTCGCAGCTGTCGCAAAAAGGGCGTGGCGGAGCAAAGTTGCGTGAAGTGCAGTGTGGGGTGCATACACGCGCGCATGCATGCATTCCTCAAGCTACAGTACTAGTAGTAGGTATAATTAATGAGTAAGCGGAGGAAGGGTAAGTACGGTAGGGTAAATGTACGTGTACGTTGTAATGAAATAGAGAGAGAGCCAGGCTTTGGAATGGGATGCTTTTTGCCACGCTAGCTCGGATGGTTGTATACCTAAGGTAAGGTATGCATGTATATAGTATACAGTATTATGGATTGTATTGGCGTGGGTACTTGGCGGATGCACACGTGCTTTGCTCGTACTCCGCATACGGATGTAACTTCGTACGTAAAGCGGGTATTCTTCCGGGCTTGGAAAGGAGGTCATTTGATCTCGATATTCGCGCAGCTGATTTTTTTCTTTTCTTGTTCTGCGTACGACTTTGCTCCCTCTTTCTTGCGCTTGACGATACTCGGAATCAGGCTTTGCGATTACGGTTTTGTGTTGTTCGTTCCGCTTCGTCTCCATTTCCCTTCTTCTCTTCTCTCTTCCGTTGCTATATTTCTACATGTAGATTCCTGAGGATCGCACGAATATAGCGTCGGAATTGAACTTAGGCTTCCTTACTTTATATATATATATATATATATATATACATACTTATATACATACTTATATACATACATATATACATACATATATACCTACATACAGAAGTACAGCCTGAGGTGTTGTAACCCTTGCTACAGTACTCCACAGCTACTGCTCTAGCCTAATTGAGCAATAACCTGTCCTTGAGCACGGAACCTTATACGTAGTACGTAGAATCTCGAAAAGCCTTACGGGGTAAGACTTTACTTTGTATTGAGGTCAGGTTATTGCTCAATCAGGTTAAAACAATGGCTGAGGAGTAGCAAGGCTTACAAAACTTCATCGCTGTACCTCTATATTATATATATAATATCAACCATAATGCAAACCACGGGCATATCTGCTTAGCGTCCGCATTCTCTGAACCCACATTCGCCCTGATCAAAGCAAGTCATCGCCAAAGAAAAAGAAGTCATCCAAACAGATCCGCAGCGCGACGTTCAACTTTCACTCATGACTTTCGATTAACACTGATCAATGCCTACTGAATACCCAGCATTTATTTCACAGCACCGGTCGGTTTCCCTGCCGTACACTACCTTCTTGCAGCCCCAGCTCCTCCATACTACGCTACGTTCCGAGTACGTCTCCTTCTACAGCAAGCAAGCATGGCCCGAAGGATATGCAGTGCATCGTACGGAGAGCACCTGTACTAGCGCGAGTCTCCGTACTCAACCCTGCCCGATCAGCCTGTATGGAAGCGATATCTGTGTCCGCATGTGGCTTCGAGTACCGTGATCTGAGCTACGAGGGGAGGGAAGAGGCTCTTCACGATGCGGGGGTGGAGCGTCGTGGGGTTGAGGCGTTTGGGGATGTGTATCGCTCGGCTTGGTTGAAGTTTTGGGCGCAGATTGTGTTCTTCCTGCGGAGCAGTCTGGAGTTTGAGTTTGCATGTGGAGATCTTGATCGGTTGGAACTTGGAGTTAAAGCTTCCGAATCCGTTGCTGGAGGTCGTGCGTCTAGTGGTTAGTACCGCTAAAGGGGAACTTGGGTTATATCTCGTTCCGAGGTCGTTGTTCTCAGAGATGACCGATCCCTAGACATCCCCCGGAGTAGAGACCATGGCTTATGATGGCATGGGTATGTTCGAGGCCTTCAATCTCGCTCGCAGTTTCTGCTCAGCAAGCCTCACTTATTACATTCTTTTTCAGTCTTTGAATCCGTCAGCTACGATAAGGACAGCCAACATGGTGGTCGCAATCACCTCTCTCCTCTTTTAAATCACCCAGCGCCTCGGCTCTGATCATGCTCAGCGCTGAAAGCATTCTCGAAGACCCTGTCCAGAAAGGCATCGCACAGACACACGCCCAAGTGACCATCACCGCCGTCCAAGCCTCCCCAGCTTTCATCGATTGGCCGATCCCCGACCCGAAAGCTAAGTAGCTTCGCGTAAGAAGACGCATGTTTTGCTGCTGCGGATCCCACTGGCAACGTCTAGCGGGGGTCTGAGGACCGGATCGGATGAGCTTGCTGCATGTTTGTTTTTCTTTCTTTCTTTCTTTCTCTCCCCTTGGCCTATCGCTAGATATTTTTTCTGAGTTGACTGGACTCGAATCGAACTTGACGTAGAGCAGAGCGCTTTTACCGAAAAGGTGTCAGCTGAAACCAAGGATGCCTAGGTGAACCGCGCGGGAGAGGGAGAATGATGGGGAATAGGGACTGCGGTTTCTGATTTCTCTTCAGCGACATTTTTTTTTTCTTTTCTTCTTTTGAGGAAGCAGAAGGATTAGGGAAGGAGAGAAGGAGAAAGAGAGTAATAGCTTGCTGTACTATACTGTGCTGTGCTGTGCTGTGCTGATTGAAATAGTAGGGGACGGAGGGAAGTGTTCGGGAATGAAGAATGTGAATTATGTACAGAAATAAATTCGATGATCAGAATGCGCAGATAAAAGGAAAGGCGAAAATGGCGGGATGGGGGATGAGCTGCTTGATATATTCCCGTAAGAAAAGAAAGGAGTTTCCCTAGCTAGCTGAACCATAACTTAAGATGTTATAAGACGACGACGGGGATGTTCAGATTTCGGCTCGGGAGATCCCCCATGCGGGTCGGGTCGTCGGAATTAAGCATCAACAAGGCCACAGCCAAGCTTAGGTAAGAGGATCTTAATAAGCGAGTCTCGAGCTTCTCGAGTCCGAGGCGACTTCCAGAGAGAACGGAGTACGGTATCATTCCACCTGGCACCTGCAGGCGCATCGCATCTACCAGCGTCGCGTCAACTATCCAACAGCCTCCTACTGCTCTCCCATTTTCGTCACTCGCTCGGCGGTCTTTGTTATTTTACTATGCGATATGATACTATACTGACTGTACTGTACTTCAATTGGAGGAACATATATCGATATTCCCAACATTGTTATTGATTTATAGCACGGACTTGTTGATAAACAAGACCAGAGCGGCGCCTTAATCGGGCATTCGTTACCACCAGCATCACCACCCTGTTCTCGAGTCCCATTCATCTCACCACTCCATCACTACTACTACTACTACTTCTATATCTGCAAAGACCCCCAGCCCAGCGTCCTCGCTCCTCGAGCGCCCCTCGAATCGCGCCTACAATGGCACCCCTCCCTAGCCTCACTTCTCCCACCTCTTCCCACTTCCTCCTCTTCCCTCAGGCCTTCCGCCGCCAATCCACCGACAGCATAATCCCGACCACCTACGGCAGCATCAACAGCGGTCCGGCCCCGGGGACCGTCGCCGGCATCGTCCTCGGCTCCGTAGGTGGCTTCCTCCTCCTCCTCTGGCTGATCTACACCTGCGTGCGATTCGGATCCGCGTCCTCGCGCTCCGCGTACACGGAGTCCGTCGTCGTCCCCGCCGCGCGCCCGCGCCGCCGGAGAGCCCACCACCGCGGCGGGGGCACTGTCCGGCGCGAGACGGTCGAGATTCGTCGCGAGCGCAGCCCCGTGCGGATCCCCCTGCGGGAGCCCGAGATTGTGAGGCTGCCGTCGACGCCGATGCCGAGGCAGCCGGAGAGGGTCGAGAGGGTCGTCGTGGAAGAGAGTAGGGAGACGAGGAGGGAGAGGGAGAGGAGTCGTGGCGGGAGCGACGAGATTGTTGTTATCGAGGACCATAGCCCGCCGCGGAAGAAGAAGAGCTCGCGGACAGCGGCGACGGTGAGGAGTAGTGCGGAGAGTGTGAGGAGGGAGAGCGGCTACAGGACTGTGGATCCGACGACGTATGGGGGTGCTGTGGGCGGGAGGAAGGCGGGTAGGAGGAGGTGATTGGGAGTGGTAATCGGTCAGGTTCGGGGAAATACTGTAGCGAGGGATTTTGTACATGGTTGTGTGTATTAGAAAGGGGTTTCGGAGGGTAGGAGGTATATACGGGACGGACGATTTCTAAATTGGGAATGCGGATCATAGGACACGGGATCAGGGAACTGGGGGGCATGGACACGCAAGCACGTACAGAACAGCACACGCTGGAAGCAAATGGGGCGATTCGAAGCCACGGATTGCGCACAGAGAAGGATTCATCTATCTCACCATCGCCTGAGATCCGCTCGCTCGTTTCTCCGCCGGGGTACGGTACAGTCCCCCAGAACCAAATAGTGGCACACACAAACTTTCTCTTTCGCACCCCCCCCCCCCCCCACCTACCACTAC